CCCCAAAACCCCAAAACCCCAATATTCTAGAATAAATAGAGTGTAGTTTTTCTTACTTTCCTTCATTATATATAAAATTAATTATAATCAATTATTTAAAGTAAGATATACACTCAATGATTTTTATTCTTTCAGTTGTTTTTCTAGCACTTAATCATCATCTAGAATTTCTCCATTAAAGTTATTCAAATGAAAGATATAATTGAGTTCTTTATTAAGTAACTCAAATACTTGCTTACTCTTATATCCTTAATGCCACATTAATTTCTTATCCATTTTTATAATAATATAGGGCACTTTGTGCTTTTCTATAAACTCAAGTGCACCTCTAATCACATCAATTTCCATGCCATTCACGTTTATTTTCATAACTCCTACATAAAAATCTGTTGGCATTTCATTTGTTAGATCATCAAGTGTTATCACATCTCCATTACCGTAAAGTATTCCATCTTACAAGTATTATCCTTTCTAATCACAGATGAGTATACCATCTAATGCCTTATATGGTAATATATACATATTGCACTGCTACTACTCTTATCCTAAGGCATAATCAAAGATTTATACTCTATCCCACCACTTATCAACTTTAGTTACATCTACAATCCTAGTTTCTATTTTATCTATATTTTACTCTCTTGGTTTATACTTTCTTTGTTCCTCATTATATTCCAAGCTTGAATTATCTTAATTGATGCACAATGTATTTCTCATAGCATATATATTATCTATCATAGGATCAAAAGCTATACTATAGAATCCTTTTTTTGCAGCAATCATGCTAAACCATCCTAAGTTAGCTCCAACATCTATAAAAGCTATTTTCCTTTAGCTTTTTTGTATATCATTAGTTTATTTTTCATCTCGATGTCCATTTGTTGATTCATTAACTTTCATGAGTTGTGATAATATCTGATGTGTGTTTATAAGATCGTAGTTTCCATACTTTTTCAAGTAAAGCGAAAGTTTATCAGACTCTGGAATATCATCTGGTGCTTCTGAGGTCAAAATATCGAAGCTCCCATATAAACCTTCATACTCTGGAATTTCTTGAATGTCAAAGAGCTAATTGATTTGCCTGTCTTTTTCATCTATGCAGAATTTGATTTACCTTCGTTTAGATTCATTCCAATAATCGATTCTTTCAGGCTGCTAAACATTTGATAATAAAACACAATTCCCCTCACAGTCATCTTCTAAAATCTCATATTTCTAGTGACAAGAGACATAACAAATAGTAAAATAGCTTATTAAAACTAAAACTCTTTTGATTTAATCCATTTTTATATAATAATATCACTCAAAACTTAATCTATAATACAAGTGGGGTTTTGGGGTTTTGGGGTTTTGGGG